CACACAGAGTTAACCCTAGGAGGACATTTCTTTCAGAACGTTAAACCAAACTCTGTAAATTCTACTTTTGTGACAGATCTGAAAACGCTCCAAAGAAATCCATACTCAATACTTTCTAATTGCATGCACTCAAGGACCAATCTATGCCAGCTAGAGCTAGCTGAGTACAGCTTTCAACAGATAGTTGGATGCCCCTCCGAAATAAGAAACCTATGCATACAGCCGTACCCCATCATATATGGAGGGATGACTGTCTTCCTCCATGGTTGCTGGCCCCCATGACAGAGTGCAATTAAAAGACAAATGAATGACTAGCTACTCCTTAAAACCTCATCAAATCCAGGAAAAAACAATCAAGACCAAGCACACTACAGAAAAAGGTGTCGGTATCTTCTAAGTTTCTTCTGATCTCTGCGCTACATAATATTGTAAGTTTGAATATCTATTCCTAAATAATCATGTGCTTGTTTCAAGTTGCAAAATAAGATCTCCTAAATGTAGCAACTTTGTCAAATGAGGATAATACAGCTTGTGTGTACCAAATTCTAAAGTTAAATGTTTAATGCTAATTGACCACAGGGAGATTAAAACTTAGCCCCAGCAATTCTAGTTACATAATGGATTTATGCAAAGCCTTGCCAGCACTGCTCGGAAGGGCGAGCCTGTTGCAGTGGTAGAGTCTCTCCACTTGTGGCCTGGAGGTCTTGGGTTCGAACCGGCCTCCTTGCAGAATTATTGTGCAAGGGTAAGGCTGTCTAGAAATTCCCTTCCCCAGACCCCACCTTGTGTGGGAGCTTTCAGCGCTGGGTACGCCCCTCGCCAGCACTGATTGCCACGTTCCGTGGTTTCTCTTCTGCTGTTAAACTTGGTAATTGATGGTAGACTATTCTTCTTAGTTGGACGCCCTTCCAAAAGAAGCAATTTATGCACACAGCCGAACTCCATTACATATGGAGGGATGGCTGTCTTCCTCCATGGTTAAGTTTGAACATCCTATTCCTAAACAATCATGCACTCGTTTCGAGCTATGAAATAAGATCTCCTAAATATAGCAACTTTGTCAAATGAGGGCAGTACAGCTTGCGTGTACCATATTTAAAATAAATCATAGATAATAAGCATAAGAGATGATGCAGTTCAGTGTTGTATGTCAATTAACTACAGGGTGATTGAAACTTAGCCCCAAAAATTATAGTTATAGAGAGGATTTATGCAAAGGCTGGCCAACATTCTTTGCCATGTTCTGCGTGTTTCTTGTTTGCTGTTTAACTTGGTAACTTATGGCACACTATTCCAAATTTCAGTTGTCTCTGGTGTCATCACCAGTGTTTTGGTTACCGAACGAAATTTTGAGATTTCGAGCGGTTACCGAATATTTCGTTGCCCCCTGGTAAATGGGCGTTTCAAGCCTTTTGAATTTGAACAATCAACATGTAGTCAAGTAGGATGGAAACTCACATTTGACACAGAAAACGATGGTGTATTGTCTAGGGCGCTGGGACTTTTAAGACGACAACGTCCTGGGTTCGAATCCCTCTAGTATCTTTTTTGTCTAATTATATGGATATACAACAGAATCTTCTTTTTTTTTTTAAAAGGGCGGGCAGGGGTCAAACTCGAGACCACGAGGCACCGACGACGTAAGGGTAGAGCTGAGGAACAACCAGTTTATGAAAATTTCTAATTCCGTGGCAATTTGACTTGAGCCAAATATTTGAAGTCAAATTTCATTTCAAAATTTTGAACGGTATTATGTCGGTATT